TTGATCTCTTGTCAGTTTATCCTCTGCAAACCAGAAATAATTTTTTTTTAAATTTTTTTAATTTTGGGGTCACAATCGGAGCAATAGCACAGTGAGTAGGTCATTTGCCTTGCACGAGGCTGACCCGGTCGACCCGAGTTCGATTCCTCCGCCCCTCTCGGAGAGCCCGGCAAGCTACCGAGAGTATCTCGCCCGCACGGCAAAGCCTGGCAAGCTACCCGTGACGTATTCAATATGCCAAACACAGTATCAACAAGTCTCACAATGTAATTCGGCCCTCTTGAGGAAACTGATGAACAACGGGAGGACAGTGACAGTGACAGTGACCCGACGAAGCTCACCAGAACTCCTTTCTGAGTTCACCTTTGGATGCATTTCCCAGTGGTGCGTCCCTCGGCCATCAGAAGATCCGGAGTTATTCACGAGGGGGTAACACACGCCAGGCCAGCAGGAGGGACCCCCGCCCCCACCCCCATAGACAGTCACCATGCATCAAGCCAGGTACTCCCTAGAGAAACCTGAGGATCAGTGACCAAGGGGGGGGTGTCATACCTGCCCCTTTTCTTCCGGGGATACTCCTTATTTCCCAGGACGGAGGGTTCTGGATGGGTGAGACCCAGCCATCCTGTTTACTTCAGTTCTCTGGTTCCATTTCTGTGAGTGATCTGCAGCACCAGGTGAGGCAGAGGGGGCTGGCAGGACCCTGGATGCCTGAGCGAGGCATGACCCCTGGCATGACCCACCCTTCAGATCTCTCTGGCGCCTCTCACATTCCATGGCAGCTGAGAGGGAGGGACCCGCAGTCCTCTTGCCCGCCTTTCAGTGGTGGCCACAGGGCTGTCCATGCATCGCAAGGCACAGAGTCTAGGGCCGCAAGAGTTTGCGGTGTCTCTTCCTCAATGTTGCAGGGAAGGTGATGGAGCAATTTTTTTTTTTTTGCTTTTGCTTTTTGGGCTACACTCGGCAATTCACAGGGCTGACTCCCGGCTCTGCACTCAGGAATCACTTCTGGAGGTGCTCAGGGGACCCTATGGGATGCTGGGGATCGAACCCGGGTTGGCCATGCGCAAGACTCAATTGATTCTTCTGTGCACGTATCACACCTCTTGCATGCCTGGGAAGTTCCGGGCCACTGGCCACCTCATCACTGACCACTTCTCCAGGACCCTCTATCTGCGGGAGGCCGTCCCGAGTGGGTCTCGCTGTGCCCACAAGCACCATCCCTGCCACTGTTTCCCTGAATTTTGCTAAAGGGTATGGGTCTTTTGTTTTGTGTTTTGGGTCACACCCGGTGATGCACAGGGGTTCCTCCTGGCTCTGCACTCAGGAATCACTTCTGGTGGTGCTTGGGGGGGCCCTGTGGGATGCTGGGACTCAAACCCGGGTTGGCCACGTGCAAGGCAAACGCCCTCCCTGCTGTGCTATCGCTCTAGCCTGGGTCATTTAGTCTTTTCTTGCCCTTCTGTTCTACCGTTGGGCCCCCTCGCACCTAACTCAGCACCCAGCACACAGGGACCCTCACATACCGGGTCTTATCCCAAGAGTTTCTTAAGTTCTTAACTGGGGTGGCGGTGGGGCTTCAGAATTTTCCCAGAAATCCTACCCCCCATTTCTGTCGCTATTGGAATGGCTAAATCTCGTGTACTTGGCCGTTGCTTGCCCACGTGGCTGCAAGGCCAAGCCAAGGAGGGCAAAAGGCGGGGTGATGCCCAGCATGTGGGATGATCCCGAGGATGGAACTTGGGGTCTCACGCCTGCAGAGAGAACGCTCCCATGAAGCGCCAGCTCTGCAGCCCCACAGGGAATTTCTACAACATTCAGGGGTGGGGCCTGATCCAAGAGCATCTTTGTGGGGTCTACTGGCTCAAGGCGGGGGTACAGCCCACCTGGGTGCCAGGTGTTCCGGTCTGGGGCGCTCTCCTGCTGTCCCCAGCGTCCCCAACCCCGGGCTCTGACTCTGGGAGGGATGGAGGGAGGGCCAGCATCCGGGTCACCGTGAAGACACCGGGGACCAGAATCTGGGTCACTGTAGAGATACCGGCTGGGCAGTGAGAGCAAGACCCGTCACAGAGCGCAGTGCACTCACGGGAGCCCCTGTGCATACCCCCAGGGCCATTTGTTACATTTCGTCCTTGAAACATTTTTTTTTTTTATTTTGAGTCACATCTGGCAATGCACAGGGGTTCCTCCTGGCTCTGCACTCAGGAATCACTCCTGGCGGTGCTCGGGGGACCCTATGGGATGCTGGGAATTGAACCCGGGTCAGCCGCGTGCAAGACAAACGCCCTCCCCGCTGTGCTACCGCTCCAGCCCCCATCCTTGAAACTTCTCGATGCCTCTTTTTATGGGGGTGGGGGGACCCAGCAGTGCTCAGGGCTGACTCCCGATTGCATTCAGGGCTCCGGGACTCTATGGGGATGCCGGGAATCGAACCCGAGTCAGCTGCGTGCAAGGCAAGCGCCCTGCCCGTTGGACTCTCAGACTGATACCCCACGGGGCCAGGGTCCGTGATCTCGGCTTCCTCCCCAGGACGAGGCTCAGAAAACAAAGGGGTGATGCTGCTGCTGTGTGAGCCTGGGCACGTGGCACCCCCCCGACCCCGACTCTCCTCCTGGGAAGTGTTGCCTGGGACCCGGGGTGATGGCAGAACGCAGGGACTTCTCTGGAAACGGCCTCCCAAAAGCTGCTGAAGGCGAGTGAGTGGGGACCACACAGGAGCATTACTTTATAAATCGGTTTATTTACAGATTTCTCCTTCTGAAAGTACATTTCGGTTAACAAATCTATTTACACAGGTGTACATGGGCACGGGCCCCCGTTATTTTACAGATCATACTTACAAGACCACACCCCAAGTCCTCCGTGCCATGGGGCACTGGGTGTGGCAGTTGGCTGAAAGCAGCCCTCTGGAGGGGCTATTTACACACACACACGCACGCACGCACGCACGCATGCACGCACTCACACGCACACAGTAAACGGGCTCGTTTTTCATGTCTGCACGGAAGTACAGTACGTACATGGAGGCGGCACCTCCCAGGGAACGCTTTGCAACGCGCTGACCCAGAAGGCTTTGCAAAGTCCGGGAGGAAAAAGCTATTAAACGTGGGTTAAAATGACAGTACCTCCTTTGACCTCAGGTGGCGGAGGGGTGGGTTTATTTTTTGTTTTGTTTTTCTTCACATTTTTATAATACAAACAGTTTACTGAGTCAGTTAGGATGATTTGTAAACATGTGAATCCCTACGATTGGTGTGAAACTTGTATCAGTGTAGTTCCTATGTTCACGCTGCTGCTTTGCTCACTAGTATCGTTAAGGTAGTAAAAGATGTGGGTTGGAACTTCTTGCAGAAAAGTTATGAGTTTCTAATGCTGTGCGAGTACACGCTTAATTCAAGTATTGCAAAAAGCTAAGGCCACTTTTTTTTTCAAGACAAGAAAGTGAATATATTTTTTTTTATCAATAGGCCACAACACTTGAAAGATAATTTCTCGGAGACCTGTAGTCAGAGAAGGAATTTTCTTTTCTTTCGAGCAAAAGAAGAAAAAAAAAAGATCACTGCTACGTGAACTCCTTTGGAACGCTTCCCACTTTCCCCTCGGCGGAAAATTCCTTGTTCGACCTGAAGAGGGACTGTGTACCCTGTACTTGAAGTCACCCAGAGTTAAGCACCCTGGACAGCAGACATCATTTTGGACGCAGAGGTGAATCCGAAGTCACTTCGGTCAGTTTTTCTCCTAACCTCTGCTAAGTGCTTCTCGGAGAGCTATTACTGCTGACACAAAGATCTTTTTCTCAGCGGAAAAATGATGATGAAAGAGTGAAAGAGGATGGGGGATGGGGAGGAAGAAGGGAGATGAGTGCGAGGGGACAAGTTAGATTCTGGTGAGAGGCGGAGCTTGGTTCAAAGGAGCCCAGTAAGACACAGTGGCCGAGTGACCATCATGTCCCTCCTGATCCCAAGACACCCATTTCCCAATGAAAATGCTAAGACAGGTGCAGACTCCAGGCTGTGGGTGGTCTCTTCTAGCAGGAAGCAAGGCTGACATAAGTCTGACGCTTCTCCTGAGCCCATGAGTCTTGGGACTCAGGCGGGTGGGGTCTGGAGGCCGGGGAAGGACGGCCGGGCTTTCCATAGTGCTTTCTGGAGAATCTGACGTCCAGACCGCCGCGCTCACAGACTCACAGGACTTTTATCCCTCCTCTATTTCTAGAACCCAAACGTTGTCCAGAGTCAAGATAAACTTTCCCTTTTCCAATGGGTTTAGTGCCAACAATAAGCCTGGAGAAAAGAACAGCTCGATCCCTATGATTATATTATCTTCCTCTCTGTTTATATAAAATATTGACAGCAGCGGTGACAGTCGGGACAACGCACTCCCACTCGTCTTTCTGTCCTCCCGACGACAGGCCGCTGAGAAGGTGCTGTTCCCCCCGGCCCGGAAAAAAGCCAGGCTCCAGGCAGCCTCTGTCCTGCTGCCTAACCACCAGGCAAACCCGGGCTTGTCCCGAGTCCACCTGCCTGTTATGGCTACGCGCCTCGCGCGCATGAGGAAAAAGCCGGGAAGCAGCCACGCTGGCCGGCCGCCCGGCCCGGCGCCTTCCCGGGACCTCGCGTGCGGTTCAGTGCTTTCCTTAGTATCAAGAGCTATCACACCAGTCACTGTGCAAAATGCAAGATTGCAATGACGACGGTTGGGGAGGGTCTCCTATGACAAGATGAAACTCAAGAGGGTGCGGATATGTGCATAGTGAAGTGGGGGGGGGGGGTGGAGGAGAGAGGGGCGGCGGGGAAGGCGTGCGCATGCTCCGCGCCTCGGCCGGTGCTGGGGCTGTCCTCACGGGGATGGGAATGCCACACCCAGGGGCGCGGGTAGCCGTGAGTCCAGGGGGGTGTCTGAGATCAAGCTTGTGACCGACCTTCGGAATTAAGGCATTTACATTCGCGCCTTGGGTTAGCCACGTTCTTCTGGACCATTGGAGAAGCAGAGGGCTGGCTAGGAGGGCCAGTCGAGAGCAGGGCCGGGGGCGCGGGCAGAGGAGGCCCCGCGCGTGCACGCGTGCTGGAGTCTGATGCGGTTCCGTTCAGGGAAGCAACGGTACCAGAGGCAGAACCGAGCTCGGAGGGGCCTTCGTTCGCTTCCTCCCAGGCCCGCTGCTGTGGGTGGTCTGGAGGGAAAACGCCTCTTCTTCCACTGACCCTCGAGGGGCGCGTGAGAACCTCGGTTTCCTGTGCAAAAAGCGCGAGCCCCAGAGGCGGCAAGACAGAAGGCTGAACTGTGACAAGAAGACGCTCACTTCCGGGCGGACACACACTGTCGACCTCGCAATAATTTACCTAGCAATAAATTAAGAGAGTTGTGCAGCACACGACGGGCACAACGGGCGGTGCGTTTGTCTCGGGCGCACACGCTCCCGTCCTGCGCGCTAGTCGCAGCGTCTGGCCGGGTGGGAGAAGCGGCCGGGTTGGACTCAGTGACGGCCGATGTGACTTCTGGCCGCTTCCGCCGTCCGCGCGGGGTGGCCTGAGGTGGTCCTGAGGCTCTGGCTTTCGGTGTGCTCAGAAGTACTGGTAGAGGTTCAGAAGGACTGAGGGAAGTGCGAGGCCGGGCGAGGGCCGCAGAAGCCGCCCTGCCTGGGTCTCGATTCTTCCGGCCGTGCTCGGAAGCCTGATTTCCTTTCCGCAGCCACAGGTCAGCACTGATGTCTGCTAACCGGTTCGTCCACTGGGCGCTGGTCAACTGCGTAAGGGAGAAGATGGTCCTCAAAGAGACAGGAGGCGACTCCCGCCGCCCCCCAGCGAGTGACGCGGGCAGAGATGAGTGAACGTGTCTGCCGAGAAGCAGGGCAAGGGCTTAATACTGTCGAGAGACCAGAAGGTTACGGGGCCGGGACACTCGGATGCCATCGTCCCCGCCTCTCTCCTGACTTCCTGTGAGGGGAGGCTCCGCCCCGTCTCCGCTGAGGCTGGACTGCTGCCTGTGGCCCTCACCCGAGCTGGAATGAGGCGCAGAACCACACACTCCATGGACACCAGGGGCGCGCCCTGCCCCCCACAGCCAGTCCAGCGGACAGTCTCCAGAGGAAAAGGCTGCGCGTGCAGCCAGACTGCACTGTCCCGTGAACTCCGACCCGGAAGTCCTTCCGAACAGGGGTGAGGTCCGGCAGCACTGTGGCTCAGATGGAGACGGGGTGCGGGTCGGGGGGCAGAAAGGCCCGGGACTCACATTAGCACTCAGGGGGCGGTTTATTGGCAAACTGTCACACGAGCAGCGCCCGGCCCTGCCTGTCGCTGATGCGGTTCAGCACGTCCACTGTGTCCCGCAAGAGGCTCTCGAAGATGCCCTCGGCCAGCTGCATCTTCACGCATAGCTCGTCCTCGTCGTAGTTCACCCACTGGGCCTCCTCCTCGTGGAGCTCCTGAACCTGGGGGGCACAAGAGGGGAGAGTGCAACGTTTGTCACGGGCCAATGCTGTGGCCCTTGAGCGGGAACAAGGTGAGCCACAGGCGAGAACACGCAGCTGTTGCATTAAAGCGGTGCCATGTATGTGTGTGTGTATGTGTGTGTGTGTGTATGTGTGTGTGCGTGGGTGGAGGTGGGGGGATGTGGAGCCATAGCACAGCGTTGAGTGCATCGACCTAGCACATGGCAGACCCGGGTTCGATCCCTGGCATCCCAGAGGGACCCCGAGCACTGCCAGGAGTGATTCCTGAATGCAGAGTCGGGAGTCAGCCCTGAGCATCACTGGGTGTGGCAGTAAGAGAGACAGACAGACAGACATGGGCACGGAGTGACAGCACAGCGGGGAGGGCATTTGCCTTGCATGCGGCCAACCCAGGTTCAATCCCTGGCATCCCAAAGGGTTCCCCGAGCACCGCCAGGAGTGATTTCTGAGTGCAGAGTCAGGAGTCAGCCCTGGGCATCACTGGGTGTGGTCCAAAAAACAGCGGCATCAGGAGCTCGGGGCTGGGGAATACCCGTAGGAGGTTCCGGGTTCGATCCCCCACATCCTCCCCTGGCCACACACCCGCCTCCTGAGAGACTTGCCAGCCGGATAAATACTGAATCGTTTGTTCCCGAGAGTGCATGTGTGACAGGGAACACGGGGCCGCGTGCACTGACCAGGATGTGATCGACTCGGTCTCTCTTCTTCCTCCCAAACTTCATCATTTTCTGCCAGTCGGTTTTGTGATTGGGCTCCTTTTTCAGACTAAATAACTTGAGCACTTCCGTTGCTATGAAGTTCTGTGAAAATAAAGAGAAATGAAGGCGACATGACATGGATCACCGAGGGCCTGAAACGCAGCGCCGGTGGAAGCGATGGCCAACAGGTGCAGAGCGTTCAAAGTGCTGTCCAAATTTCCTCCACCTAGCACGCTGAGCAGTGTGGCAGATTTTTAAAAAATGTGTCAAATCCTCAAGCCGTTTATTTGACTTTTTCATACAACATCTAAAAGTAAAACACAGTGTGTGTGATCCATTCCACAAAGTTGAATGACATTTAAAAGGTTTTAAGAAAATACAATTAATATTTGATTACCTTTTGCTACTTGTACCTATGCAGGGTGGGTGGTTCTCCTCTGGAAAGGGCCAGCCTGTACACATGTGTTTTTTTTTTTTTTTTGGGGGGGGGGGTGGTCCCAGCAGTGCTCAGGGCTTACTCCTGGCTCTGTGCTCAGGGGTCACTTTTGGCAGGTATCAGGGGACCCTTCGTGGGCCAGGGATCAAATCCGGGTTGGCTACATCCAAGGCAAGCACCTTACTTACTACTCTATCTCTCCAGCCCTATTTCTAGAATATTACACTGATCTCTAAATTACCAAAGACTCACCTCAAACTTCCATGTGTAGAAATTGTCTGATTACTTCCTAATTTTTTCTTAAAATAAAATCGCAAAAAATAAAATAATAAAATTTCTTACATGTGAAACGGGAAATGACTATTTGAGAGGCTGAGAGTGAAGCAGACCATCTACCTTACTGCCCCCATGACCGAGTAATGGTCAGCCGCCCCACACAGGAGGGATGGCTCTAAGGTCAGCATGCAGGCCACGTGTGGGGAGCAGGGGTTCAGTCCCCGGCACCTCACCCAGAGAAAAACCAAAGTCAAAAGAAAATAAGGACATACTCTCTAGCTTGGCTCGCAATTTACCATTTTTTCCCCCTTTTTTTTTATTTGGGTCATACCCAGCGATGCTCAGAGCTGACCCTATGGGATGCTGGGAATCGAACCCGGGTCTGCCGCGTGCCAGGTCAACGCCCTCCCCACTGTGCTATCGCTCCAGCCCCTCGTAAAATTTACCTTGATCTCATCTAGGCTGTTGGGATTTTTCACACGCCGGAAATAACTCGAGTTGACCCTGGACGGCTTCATCCACACGGGTTGGTTCAAGTTGGGATCTTCGGCGAAGATTTCCTCAAAAATCTCTCGTGTGAGATCAAAAACCGCCTTGAGAGAGAAACAGGGAAACAAAGCCCAGGGCTGAGAATGCGCGGGCCGGGCGCAGGGGAAGTTCCACCGACGAGCCGAGCTCCGGGCTGCACGCCTACCTGTTTGTAGACCCTCTTACTCGTGCTCTCGAGGTCCAGACTGTTGCTGGTCCCGCCCAGCAGCTTTGCAGGGACGCTGATGGTGTGCAGAGCGTCCCCTGCCTCTCGGCGCTTCCAGAGTTCTTCCGCGGCGCCGTGGACGAGGAGCTCGACCTCCTGGGCAGTGTGCGGCACGGCCAGCAGCACTTCACAGGCCTGCGGGGCGGCTCTCTTGGCCTCGGCCATCAGGGGGACGATGGTTTCTTCCGCCTTGTTCTTCTGGATCTTGTGAGAAGAGCTCAGACCGAAGTCCTCCTCGAACCAATCCTGGTCGTCCCCTAAGACGCTGAGGAACTCCCGACTGACCTCGAGCTCGGCAAGTCTCTTAGCAAGCTCTTCCTGTCCACTGGCGCCGAACACCGGACTCTCCTGGAGATACGGAACCCGCCCGAACAGCACCGGTTAGTGACCTCAGGCCCACCGACACTTGGAGACAAAGCAGAGGCGCACCTGGGTAGTCGGGACTTTAGAAGCAAACGAGGAAGCTGGGGGCCTCCCAAGGGACCACGTAAGAATAAGCCCGTTCCGTGGAGTCGGCTTGTAGGAGCCTTCTAACGGGAAGTTTTATAAAATCTTTGATTCCTCCCACCTTTTTGAATCAACATCAGTCTGGTGTTGAAGGACTGTCTGGATTCTGGGAGCTGGGAACCAGACCGGAAGTTCCTCACCTTTGGTCATCGTCTGGCTCAAGTCACTCACGATCGTGACTTTGGCTCAAGTGCTCAGGAGCAACGGAAACAAGCGCATGGTCTGGAGCACATAAGGTCAGAGCACACACATTCCACCTTTACCGGAATCCACACCCCAGCTGGTGATCTCTGCTGGACAGCCATGACTGAGGTGTTACAGAGACAAAGAACTGGGGGGCTGGGAATCGCTGGGATGGGCCGTGGGCTCCATCTGCCCAGAGACGCTGAAAGGGCATGGAAGCCGTGAGTGGGGACTGTCCCCCCAGCAGTGACCTGCAACATTTGTGACAGCCTCACAGTGACCTAACAGAGAGCGATTATGCTTCGGACAAAAGCAGCAGCGAGGAGGGCTTTAAAAACTAGGACCGCGGTCTCTCCCTAACAAGCATGTCATACACATGCACGGATGTGTGTGCACATACTAGAGCTCTTGGGGGGGGGGGGGTGATGGATTTAACACGTGCTCAAAAGAGGAGGCAAGGACATGTTTTTTTTTGGGGATACTTACGGGCCGGGGATAGAGATCGGGCGAGGACACCTCTTCTTTCTCATCTTCCAGTTCAGACCGCAAGTAGCACTCTGGGACGGCAGGTGGCCGTGTGTCCAGACTCGGGGTTCGGTCCGGAGACGGGGCTCCTCCCTGCTCATCCTCGAGCAACTCCTGGTTGCTGAGCTGGATTTTCTCCTGCCGAGCTCTGTGGATCTGCTGCAGCTGGTTGACTGTGTCCTTGACGAAAACTTCCAGCAAGCTCTCGGTCAGCAGGCTGACGGTCTCCACCTGCTTCTTCGAGGACGACCGGATCTGGGCCTCCAAGTGGTCCTTTTCTCTTGCCAACAGGTCCAGAAGGGGGGTGGGCGGCTTCTCCGAGACGGCCGCGGCAGACCCCTGCTCCTGTCCCGTCAGCCGCTCGCTCAGCTCCTCAGAGAAGGTCCTGTCCAGCGTCTCGTCGCCTGCACCGGAGCTCCTCTCGGTGGCATCTGAGAGATCTCTGCTTTCCTTTGAGGAAGCCAGTGATGTCACTGACGGTTCCCGGTCGACGCTGGAGTCCGACCCCAACTGAATGTCCTGTCCCTTCTTGTCTGACTCTGCTTTAAAGCTTTTATCTCCTGAGGTGTCTGCTTCCTGCGTCCCGGGAAGAAACTTCTCGGAAAGAGCCTCAATCGCATCCTTTTCTCGCTCAAGCTGGGGACCCTGTTTGGCTTTCTCTTCCTCATCGCCGTATCGCTCCTGTTCATCGGAGTAAGCGTCTTCCTCTTGCGGTGCGCCCGCGTGGTCGTCTAGGCTTTCCGGAAGGCGCGAGATTTTCTGAGGGGGGGCGAAGATCCCGTGCTTCTCCTTGCACACGAAGTAGACGATGCCGTCGTAGGTGCCGTTGTTATTCCCCTCAGGCTTGTCCAACTCGACGCCGGCCCAGACGCCTTCGGCGAAACTCGTCTCGCCTTTGAACCGCAGTGTGCCCGGCTGAACGTTGCCGATCAGTACCCGGTCCCCAAGGCGGAGGCCGAGCAGCTCCTCGGGGGCCGAGTCCTTCGCCGGGGCCAGGGGTCCGGTCACCTCCGGGCCGGGCCCGACGTCGCTGCGCTCCTCGCTCTTCATCAGCTCGGTTGGGGACTTGAGCTCCAGCAGCCGCCCGGAGTGGACGCTGCTGGGGGCCGAGAGGCTCTTGCCGCTGAGGCACTCGCTGATCTCATCGTCGCTGCCGAAGCTCGTGGCACTGCTCCCGGAGCTCCGGGTCGACGGGGACCGCTCTCGGCAAGACGCGGTGTCCCTCTGCAGCGTGAGCACGGGGGACGCTGCCACGTCACCTCCGCACGACCCGGCCGTGATTTCTTTCTTGAAAGAGGACGCTTCAAAGTCTTCCGAGTAGGATGTCTCTCTCGGAGCAAGAAGATGCTCTGAGAAGGGGGAGTCTCCTTCCGACGGGACGCCTGGACTCGGGTCCATCCCATCTTGGGGCTCTTTCTGATGGAGACGGTTAATGACCAACCGAATCAGGTTGTTCTGCATGTCCAGAGACTCTGAGGAAAGATCTTCCTTGGGAAGAACTGCCGACGAATGTCCTTGTTTTGTGTCTAGTTTCACTAAGACGTCAGACTCCTCGGACGGCTTCGAACGGGTACTTCCGGTGGCGCTCTCTTCTGAGTCCACGAGACCCACATCTGGTACGTCTGACTTCTGACTCGAAGTTTCTTCGGCCTTGATATCAGACACATCCAGAATTCGACTGGGCACATTTAAGTCCTTGAGTACCTCAGGGAGGTTTTCAAGAGAAGCCCCAGGGTCTGCCCTGGTTTTCCTGGAGGATCTGAGAATTGGAGATGAAGTCTGAAAATGCTCTTCTGTTCGGCTGTCCAATTCAACCATTCTCTTTGCAGAGCCAGACAGAGACTTTTCTGATGACGATCTCTCCGTATCTGTCCCGGCAACATCTTAAAGGAAAAAACAGTATTTGATCACTGTTCTTCGCTGTCTGGAATCAAAGCTTACAAAATCTCAAACAGAATCTTAGAAAGATCTCGGAACAACAATCTCTCTTGTTTGAAACAGAAGGTGAGTTCTCCTTTAAGAGAATATACTTGTAGCTATGATAAATAGAACATTCAAATGAATGAAAACTTTTGAGTTTGAAATAATTTTTTTAGGGGGGTCCACACCTGGCTCTGTGTTCAGGGATCACTCCAGGTGGTCCTCAGAGAAACATACGTGATGCCTAGAATCAAACGGGTTGGCCGCATGCAAATAAGCGTCCTACCCACTAGACTACCCCTCTGGCTCCTGAAATAATTCTTTAAGCACTGTCTTATAAAATGAAGAAAGCGAATCTGAGTTCATGGAGAGACTGATTTTCACGACCGATCATTTTTGGGGGGATATGTGGGGGTTTACTCCTAGCAATGCTCAGGGGTTACTCCTGGCTCTGTGCTCAGGAATCACTCCTGACAGTGCTCTGGTGACTCTATGGGATACTGAGGATTGAACCCAGGTTGGCCGTGTACAAGGCAAGTGCCCTCCTTGCTGTGCTATCGCTCCAGACCCTGATTAGCTGATACTAAGACATGCTGATGATACTGATGAGTCATTTTAGTCTGTTTTTTTGGTCTCAGTTTCTATCGTATTCTCAGGACAATAAAGAGGCAGGAATGCGTAGGCATCACAGAAATCCTTTGAGGAAGGAGGCCTGTCGTTTTCTGTTTACTTACCGACTTGTTCAGAAACAGACCCCAGGGATCCTCTGGAACGTTCTGACTCTGTCAGTGGCTTCCAAGTCTTTGCTGTCTCCGATCTGGGGGGAAATGGATGGACAGAAGCTCACGGTTTTGCTGGCAGCTACTGACATGGCACACGAAGCGGAGACTCTGAGGTCCCTTCTATGGGACGCCTTCTAGCCCTGCACCTTGCTGTATTCATGCAGTGCTAGGGACCCCTTGGTGTCGTGCACAGGCCAGGCAGTATTCGGCCATGTGAACTGTCTCCCTGGTTACTGCTGGGCTCTGTTTTATTCTGGCCTTGGGGCAATGACTGGTGGGGTTCAGGGGACCAGCGACACACTCAGCCCTGTGACCTGGGGCTGGCCCTGCTAGGTTCTTCCACTGAGACCAACGGATCAAGCATGGATGTTTTCTGTTGAAAAAAGATGCTTTCTTTTTTCAGGTTTTCAGGCCACACGCAGCCAATTGCTCCTGGCTCTGTGCTCATGAATCCCTCCTGGTGGGGCAAGGGGGACCATATGGGGCGCTGGGGATTGAACCCGGCCCGGTTCTGGGTCCAGCGTGTGCAAGGCAAATAAATGCTCTCCCTGTTATATTATTTCTCCGGCCGGGCATGAATGTTCTTGATTCTTTCTACCTACACACTTTTATCTATATTCCGTCACCCTAACTGTCTTTTCTCCAATCTGCAAGGACTGATATGCCAAATACCAGTAACAATGATGGGTCTCATTCTCCTAAAGAGCCTTGAATATAACCTCAGGGCTAGGATGAAGGAGACGTTACTGGGGCCTGCTCGAGGCAATCGACAAATAACAGGATGATTTGTGATTTGTGACTGATTTGCAAGGACTGAAAGCCAAGGCTCTAAAACAAGTCCAAAGTGAACTGCTTAAGCAACAGCTTCCACTCAAGACTCCAAACCGCAGCCTGGCTCGCCGTCTAACCAACCCCCCCCCCCCTTCTCCGATAATCTCTAGCCCTTGAATCTGGAGATTTCCTTCCTCGTTTATCAGCTCGCCTTAAACAAACGGCCTACATCCTGCTCCAGTCGCCCCTGCCCCAGCTCAACTACCACCCTCTTCCCCTTGCATCTGCAGATTCACCATCCTTATTTTCTTGCCTTCTCTTCACTTTCACTGATACTCGGTTCGGAGTCTCGGTTTGGAGTCCAGCCTCCTTGAAACTGCTCTAAAGAACGCTGCTTCCTCCTATGGAGCCTATGGCCCCCTCCCTGCCTCCTGGGGTGCACGGCCTCCCGGGCTAATGCTGAGACCCATAGCTCCTCCCCTTCTCTCTGGGTACACAGTTTTCCAGGCTGATGCTGTGAGACTCAGGGCTCCAACCACTAGGTAGACGGACAGAGAGATCAACCCTGGTATTTCCTTTTGGCTAATGCCACTCAGATGACCCACAGGGATCTGACATACTAAAGCCAAAACTAGTCACCCTTTTTTTTTTTTCTTTTTTTGCTTTATAGGTCATACCTGGCAATGCACAGGGGTTTCTCCTGGCTCATGCACTCAGGAATTACTCCTGGCACTGTTTGGGGGACCCTATGGAATACTGGGAATTGAACCCGGGTCGGCCGCGTGCAAGGCAAACGCCCCATCTGCTGTGCTATCACTCCAGCCCAAAACTAGACACTTTCAGTGAAAGAAATGGTTTTCCACTAAGATCTCCAGGACTCTGACTCTGCCCGCTCATAAGAGACACTCGAAGTTTTCCTCAATTCCCTCTAGCCTGCTCAGGAGTCAGCTGCTCAGATCTTCCTAAAAGCCACCGAGTCCCTGTTCTTGAAAGTTTCCAGAAAGAACTCTCTAAACTCATGCCAGGTTATGTCATTCTCTGGTCAAAATCCTTCAGGGGCTTGGTTAATAAAACTCTAAAACCATTCAGCAGTACATAGTACATCATGTAAAAACAAGTTTAGAGCCTCCAACGAAGAGGACACGAAGGCTTAGCCTAATGACCTCAGGAGGCTTATCAGCTTTGATGCTGGCGATTTTGAGGTAGTAGGTATGAGGTGATTTAAACTTTTATCTTTTTATCGCTTCCTCCACCAATATTCTGAAAACAAGAGCAACTGTAACAACTAAGGCATAGTCTGTATGTATGGACGTTTCTGTTCTAAGTCTTCTACCCCTCACCACCATTAGTCATGTCCTCCTAATATTCCTGCTTTGTAGGAATCTAAATACTGATTTAAAATGGGAGCAGAGTGGGCCAGAGACTTGCTAGAGAACTTGCTTTGAAGTCAAGATTCTTTCAGGGATACTAATGAATCAAAATGAACTTTTGTAATAAACACCCCTGCTTCTGAACTAAAAAATCTTCAAAGGGTTGGCAGTTTCTAAAAATTAAAAGAGTAAACAGATTTCTCAGAATCTGGCTTCTACGGCAGACTGGCACACATTCAAAAGAACAGGAACAACCAGTGCTGGCGCGGATGTGGGAGAAAGGGACCCACTCACTGCTGGCGGAAATGCCAACCGGGCCAGCCCTTTGGGAAAACAATATGGGCATTCGGCCAAAACCCTAGAAATCAAGCTTCCACACGACCCAGCAATATTGCTCTGGGAATCTACCCTGGGCCCAACGCCACACAGCAGAAATACCATCTGCACCCCTACGTTCACTGCAGCACTATTCACAGTAGCCAGAACCTGGGGATCCCCCAGCACCCGAGAACAGATGAGTGGACACAGAATTTGGTTTCTGTTTATCTTCCGCTCCCTTGAGCCAGTCTTAAGTATCCAGTTTCTAGGACACGTCAAGCTCTTTATCGCTTGTGGTCACTCCCAAAGGCCCTTACCTCGGGAATGTCCCCATTCCCAGGCCCACTCTTGCTTCCAGGTCCCAACCAGGCTGCAAGTTCGCAATTCTGGTACTTGCATTTATTAGAGCATCCTATTCGGGCCCTTCCGAGCCCCACAGCTGATGACTAGGGGGCTCTGCTCCTGTTCTCAGACACAAAGGTGGACTCAGTGTCTTACTAGTATAAACGATGGCATATATACAAATAGATATTTTTCTCAAGATAGGTTTCCAGAAGAAAATCAAAGTGAAAAAGTGTAGACTGCATGAGAACTCTGAAACAACGCCAAGCTCGTTCCAAGGGTCTATACAATGCATGGTGTCACTGTCTTCAATACTGGGCCCTACTCAGTACCTGCTCTGTTTCAGGGTTTCAGGATTCAAAATAGACTTTTTAATGTGTACCTCATTATAAATTTGATTTATATCCTACATAACAATTTCACTTTAGCAATTCTAGAGATACCAGTTGATATTTGCACTTCTGTATTTTCAGTCTGATAATAGACAAGCTTTGTAAGGGCGAAACTGACGCCATGACAGGCAGCAGAAATCAGCAAAATTAGCTAGGCCTCGGGTTCCCTTACAGAACAAAAACAGTCTCAGTGTCCCAGCAATGAAACAATGTGTAACTAGCCAACCTGAACCCACCTGGGAAAGTTCCTGGGCCCAGCAAGTGGGCTCAATCAATCACTATGCCCCAGTCAAAATGCCCCAGAAATTGCCTTTTGTTAACCCTAGAAGAACGAGCAGCTTATGTAACCATGAACTGTTACTGGAAACTTGTTTAACTATTGCCTGACCGTGTTACCCTAAACACTTGCCAAAACACCTTTCTTTGGTAACTAAGTAAGATTTCTTTCTGAAACAATAAGGCATGTACTGCTTATACAATCAAACCCTATACAAACTGCTTGCTGCCTGAAGTCGGGGTCGCTACCAAGAGACCACTCTGTGGGTGAGACAGTTGACAGTTGACCTCAGTATACTGGAATAAAACTCCTACTGCTTTTGCATTACCGAGCTTGTGTTTCTGTCTGTCCCGCCGCTTGGGAACCAAAAGCTTTCTTTCTTTCTCTCTTTTTTTTTGGTTTTGTTGACAAGCAAAATCTAGGCAAGTCATCAAAAAATGTGTACCTGTGCAGTGGAAGGGGCTTGATCTTGGGTTTCTCGGAAGCGGTGGAGAGCGTTTTAATCTGAGGCTTGGCGGTTGGTGACGTTTCCAAATCGCGATTAAGCTCAGCTTCAGTTTTCTTGATGAATTCGTCATACGACTAAGTCAGAAAAATCAGAGCATCACAATGCGGAATATTTTACAAAGTACTTTAAATGATACAACAGCGTATTTTATGACAAAATATTCAGATGGTAAAGAAAGAATAAAGATCTTTCACCCAGCTCCCGTAGAGCTTAGAAAATGGTTACGCCATGTTCTTGAAATGGTCTCAATATAAGCAGGACCTATGCCCGCAATTCCGCCCAGTCTGTCTCAGGCTATCACTGCAACCCCGACCAGTTTATCTAACACATAACTGCAACCCTGTCCAGTCTGTCTAACACATCACTGCAATTCTGCCCCGTCTGTCTTAGACTATCACTGCAACCCTGCCCAGTCTAACACATCACTGCAATCTCACCCAGTGTGTCTCAGACTATCACTGCAATCCCATCCAGTCTGTCTCCAACTATCACTGCAATCCCACCCAGTGTGTCTCAGACTAATACTGCAACCCTGCCCAGTCTAACACATCACTGCAATCCTGCTTAGTCTGTCTCAGACTATCACTGCAAGTCCACCCAGTCTAACACATCACTACAATCCCACCCAGTCTGTCTCAGACTATTTATTACTGCAACCCCGCTCAGTGTCTGGCTCAGACTACCACTGCTATCCTGGTATCAACTGGGAAATTGTCCCGTTTCAATCCACAGGAGGTTAATACATATGAAATGGGAAGTTTGCTCTGTGACAGGCGACTTCTCTAGGTAATTACAGTTATATATCATAAATATCATTTATTATAAAAGTATATAAGACATACTTATATATATGTTTATGCCATACAATAGGAAGAATGGCAATAACTAAGTATATCTTTAATTACACTCTGAACATTTTGTGGTCCCTTTACGATGGTCTGCCCACCAGCGTTTCAATGAGAGTCGTACCAGATGGTAAGGACTTGGGAATACAGAGGGAAGAGTATGCTGGGAGCAGGAAAGTTCAGAAGTACAAAACAAGATTTCAAGTTGCTAGTTATGCTAAAGCAAACTGAACCGGTTTATAATCCTAACTGGAATGAAACCGAAGGAATGCCCTCCACCTGTTCTCTCTTGCTCCAGCTTCTGGGCTAACTCCACCACCACTACTGGAGACTATTCCTATTAGCACGGCATTGAAGTCATTATGTACGAAGCAGGGGTCAATCTAGACTACAGAATGAATGCACACACAGACGCCTGTCAATCATTAGGCGTTTCCCCCCTAGGCTAAGGCCCTCCCTTCCCACTCTCCCTTCCATCACATTATCTTGCTCTGATAAAGTAACTAATTTTTCCTTTTGTTTTGGGGCCACACCTGGTGATCTCAGGGGTTACTCCTCACTCTGTGCTCACTCCTGGCAGTGCTCAGGAGACCTTATTGGGTGCTGGGGATCAAACCTGGGCCAGCTGTGTGCAAGGCAAACACCCTCCCCACTGTGCTCCAGCCCTGATACAGTAACTTTCGGCCTTTAAATATATACTAGAGTCTGGGGCAGAATCAGGCAGGCTGTTGGGGCCTGAGAGAAAAACCATGTAAACAGTGATTATTCTGTTACACTAACTTCTGGGGAATGATTCTGCTGGGGAAAAAAAGTCTCAATCTGCAATAATCCCAACAGCTGGAATTATAGATCTCCCAGTTCTGTGACTGAGAGGGCATAAGCACCCATAGGCCTGATATTTGTTATTTTAAAAAGACCCTTCCTTTAAATTATTTTAAAAATTCTTTTTTTTTTTTTTGGTTTTTGGGTCACACCCAGTGATGCTCAGGGCTGACCCCTGGCTCTGCATTCAGGAATCACTCCTGGAGGTGCGTGGGGGACCCTATGGGATGTCGGGGATCGAACCTGGGTTGGCCGCATGCAAGGCCAACACCCTCCCTGCTGTGCTATTGCTCTGTCCCCTATTTTAAAAATCCTTGATATGACGGTATTCAATGTTTTAAGTGAGATTTTTTTACTTAGAGAAGCTCAGCTTGCTGAAGAATGGGGTACAAGGGGGCACCAGATAACACGATCCCCGAATTCATGCCCTTCCGAGCCCCAGCCCTGCGCCCAGTCTGACCTCCAGCTGTTTGATCAGGCTGGCCTCCTGGGCTCTCAGCCTCTCCTTCTGCCTCTTTTTCTGCTCCTGCTTCAGCTGCTCTACCACAGACTTCCTTTTCCGCAGCTCATCCTTGAGGGCTCGGATCCGACCTTCGATGTCACTCTGGTCAGAGGCAGTTTCTGGAAGAGACCCCAAATCCCTAACTCACTCGCAATGCAAGAAGAGTGTAAACTCAGTGACCTAGTACTGGAAAGCAGCGGCCAAAAGCTCCATTTAAATAAAGTCGATCTCACACTGCAGAGGAAGAAATTTGCATTTCTGGGGAAAAAAAATGTATTGGCGATTTGTAACTCTCCTTTCCTGTATTCTTTTGAAAGAGTGAATTTGCTTTTACTTTCCAACTACGCTATCTGAAGCTGCAAATGAGTTTCCAGAGAGCCTGCTTCGGTAAGGTAAGTAGCTGGAAACGTACAAGTTCAAGGTCAGTGAAAGCTGTGAAACAGGTCACGCTTTAAGAAACTGTTTCCGGGTGAAAGAACGACACCTGGCCCACCACTCATTGGATATTAAAGGTTAATATCCGAGATCAATGCACCCAAGAGACGCAGAAACTTCCTAAAGAGGACATAGGAATGACCATGAAGGAACCGGCAGAGGAACCCAGGTGTGCGGGACCCGGGGCTGAGATCTCCAAGCCTGCTCGGTTCGGGACTGGGCCTCCTCCACCCAGATCCCCCCATCTTCCAGTAGCTAGACAGTTACACCCACAAACTGCGGTGTAATCCCATCAACGGCCAGGATTCAGAGACTATTAAACCAAGCTACCGGAAACGACGTCTTATTCTCTAGTTCTTGCTCTCAGAGAACCTGGAAGGCTGCTGAGAGTATCATGCCCCCAAATATGCCTGACTGGAAACACCTGTAAAGGTGATTAGAGGCTGCTCCAAAAACCTCCATCCCTTAGAGAACCCAGCAAGCTACCGAGAGTATCCCGCCCACATGGCAGAGCCTGGCAAGCTCCCCGTGGCGTACTCGATATGCCAAAAACTGCAACAAGGATGGTCCTCATTCCCCTGACCCTGAAAGAGACCCCAATATTCCATCGGGCTACACTAGCACGTGACAGGGATGAATGGAGACGTTACTGGCGCTCGCTTGAGCAAATCGATGAACAACGAGGTGATAGTGATAGTGATAAATGACCAAGAGGTATCTCGAAAAGTGCTCTGCATCGCTCATCGTCATAGAAATGCAAAGCAAGACGAGAACGAGAGATGAACGCACGGCAGAGGGACTGGCACATATCACAAAGCACAAAACGAGAGCTGGCCGGGATGCGCACTCACGGCTGGAAGACAGTGTGGATGTTTCTCAAAAAGCAAAACCGAAAAGTCGCATTTCCATTTGACCCAGCACGTTCACTTCTTGGCACCTGCCCTTAAGGGCCCTAAAGACACTTGCACCCCCGGGTCCACTGCGGCATTATTCATGGTGAGCAAAAGCTGGATACCACCCACGTGCCCAAGAACAGATGACTTCTGGGAGGCAACTCAGCCGCCATCGCTTGGCTTAAGAAGTATTCAACACAGACACACAAAAGAATCCTGGAACTGAGCAGCTCGCTGCAGAGATGGCGCCGACTTTAAGCCAGGCTGACTTCACCAGGTGCCTCAGACCCTAGCAGGCATCATCCCTCCACCTGCCCCCTAAGAATCCCGGCAGCCGCCAACTTCCAGAACCCAATGAGAGGTGCAGGTACGTGGGTTCAAACTCCAAGCCTCAAGGGACAGAGAATGAGCCGGTCCTTCTCATCACCTCGTCCCAACGAGAGGTGCAGGTACGTGGGTTCAAACTCCAGGCCTCAAGGGATAGAGGATGGGCTGGTCCTTCTCATCACTCGTCCCTGTGGGACCCTGGAGGTCACGCCCACAAACTGCCTCTGGCTGCTACTGAAGCTTTTGAAGGGCCATGATCCAGAGACACGCACGAAAGAATCTCAGAACTAAGCAGCTCGCTGGAGAGATTTCCTCAGATCTTAATTATCTAAAATTTCAGAATGCCAGGAGTGCACGACGACTATTCTTGTGACCGCATGACATCTTATGCTATTCATAACAAGCAATGCAAAATAAATGATCTAGCATCTGCCTTTTCAGCAGGTTTGAGCGGTGGCAGAAAAATTCAAAATAATGGTGGTGGGAAGGTGTAAGGGTGGATGGACTGGTGTCAAAATATTGCATGGAATCCATTATTGCAAACAACTATAAAATAAACTTAAATTTTTTTTAAAAGACATTTTCAATACGCAAAAGTGAAAAACGAGCTAAGTCTGTCGGTGAAAAGTCAAGCAGTGTGTGATGTAAGGGGGATACCTCGACAGAGACTGCACGGGAGAGAAGTCAGATGCAGCATGGAGCACCCCCGCCCCGCCCCGCCCCCTCGCTTACCGGACTGTGTCACGGACAGAGACTCGTCGGACCAGCTGGGAGAATGCTGGTGGGACCTGGAGGGCAGGCGGCCTTGGCTGCCATTCCGATGGCTCCCTTTGCTGGACTCCTGCTTTGACACAGACGTGCAGCTTTTGGGAGGTGACTGTTGGAACAGAAAAGCACAGGACAGCTGTTCTGTGACACGGGCTTCACGGCCTAGAGAAAATTCCAGTCCCCGAGGCTGGAGAGACAGTCCAGGCCTGAGGGGCGCTGACCACTTGGATCCAAGGCAACCTGCAGTCCTTCGAGCACCACCGGGTGCAGTCCTGGAGGGGGCCGGGGTATACCCAGCACTGCGGGGCCTGAGCAGTGCTGAATTCAGGTTGTCAACATTGCCAGGAGGGGAACTCCAGGAGACCCCAGCCCCTCACAGGGGGCTTACAAAACTCTCTTTTTTGTGGGGGAGGGTGTCAGACCCGGCAATGCTCACGGCTGACTCCTGACTCTGTGCTCAGGGGTCACTCCTGATAGGGCTCGCAGGACCATGGGATGCCGGGTATCGGTGCACAATCTCTCCAGCCCAGTTTTCAATCATTCTGACATAAGGAGTAAGATGCAAAAGTTGGCAGACTACATCAAAGGTCTGCCTCGATGATTTGTAAAGGGACATAAAGTCAGAAAATGCGTAAGTTAGGGGCTGGAGCAATAGCACAGCGGGGAGGGCGTTTGCCTTGCACGCAGTCGACCTAGGTTCGATTCCCAGCATCCCATAGGTCCCCTGAGCACCGCCAGGAGTGATTCCTGAGTGCTTGAACCAGGACTAACTCCTGTGCATCGCTGGGTGTGACCCCCCCCCCAAAAAAAAGCGTAAGTTAAATAAACCTTTTTTTTCCCGATTGAAACTCAACATTTTAATATCTTTAGAGTAAAACAATGAAAAGGAAAATGAAAGCAAATTACTATGAACAACTTTATGAAAATAAAATTAAAAAGAAAAAGAAAACAAGAATGGTAGTCATAATCAGAAAAACCCTTACTCTTACTCTTAAGGTCCTATCACTGACCTCTGCCCCCTTGCCAACCACTAGTCCCCCCCACCACCACCACCACCACTTAAGTCTCTTTTGGGTTTGATTTGGCATGTTGGCATGGGGTTTGAGCCACACCAGGCAGTGCTCAAGGCTTACTCCTGGCTCTCAGGAATTACTCCTGGTGGGGCTTGTGGGAGATCATATGTGGGGCTGGGGATAAAACCAGGGTCAGCTCCGTGTAAGGCCAGCACCCCCCCTGCTTGCTACACTATCTGATGGGCCCTCTCTCAGGTCTTTAAGACTAAGCTCCCTCAGCTCAGTGCCTGGCACCTCAGAGCAAAAGCTCCCTGTCCCTGGAATATCTCCGCATGTCTGGGGGAGAAATAAAATGCGAATAATAAACCTGGAGCTATCACACAGCAGTTTATTCTCTTTAACTCTACAGAAAAGTTCTCCTTCATAATTTAAAACAATATTAAATGTGGGGTTGCTTCAATATCCACTTGGCTGCTTTAACGCTTTCCTCCCTTCAGACCAATACCCCCAGGTGGAACCGCTGTGTCATACAGTAATTCTCCACCAAGGAGGAACAGATTGAGCAAATCTGATGTAGGGCTGGGGACGGGCAGTGGCTGAGCCATTGTTTTGCATGTGTGGGGCGCTGGGTTCGATCTCGGGCACTGCAAACACGTGAAGGTGCCGGATGGGTCCAGGAGACAGTTCTGAAGGTGGGCAAGGCTCTGAGCTTGATGTCTGCCCCCCTGTGTCCCCACCTGAGCACTGAGGGGCTCAGCCATGGGGGTCTGAGAAGCTGGATCCAAGCACCAGCGCCTCCCCAGGCCAGGGCATCGAACCAGGCACCTGGTCCAGAGAGCCATTCTGAGTGCCAAGGAGAGATGAGATCTTATTAGAAAATCACTTCAGAATATTCTAGTTTTTATCTCCTTGATTTTTCTGCAAGAAAACAGTAACAATAACAACACCACCATTTTTTTTTTTTGGCGAGGAAAAAAAAGGCCATTCTATCAGATGGAGGCTATTCTGAATCTCAATAACAAATTCAATGACTTCCCACGAAGTCATAAACTAGTACGACTGTGTTCAAAGGCAGAGCTCAGTTGTGAATTCCTGGAAAGCAAGAATCATGCCACAATCATCTATTCCATAAATGGCTTATTACGTACAACTATGAATTCACTACTGTAGAATTTAACTAGCGTCTTTTTTCTATTTTATTTATCTTTTTCTTTTCGGGTCACACCTGGTGATGCTCAGGGGTTGCTCCTGGCTTTGCACTCCAGAATCACTCCTGGCAGTGCTCAGGGGACCATATGGGATGTTGGGAATCGAACCCGGGTCGGCTGCATGCAAGGCCAATGCCCTACCTGCTATGCTATCACTCCAGTCCCAACTGGCGTCTTTTTCTAAACTTAAAAACTGTTTTCAGGCCTGAGACTTAGCTCCAAGCCGCTCCTACCCCTCCTAAAATTGTAAGAGATTTAAGAGCTTATGGCTTCATAACTACCACTAAAGTTCATATATTTGCAGTTCTCGGAGAACCAAGCAGCTTGACTTCTGCTCAGTGTCATACACGGCACATCACAGATACGGGTGAGCATCAAGAATATAACTCGTTGCTGGAACGATAGTATGGCAGGGAGAGCGTTTGCCTTGCAGCCGACCCAGGTTCAATCCCTGGCATCCCACAGGGTCCCCGAGCACCGTCAGGAGTAATTCCCGAGTGC